AAAATGTTGAAACACTGCCCAGTCTTGTCGTACAATTAATTCCACAATTATTCTGTTGACGTTGTCAGACGGCTCAGTTTTGGTTAAAAATTGGCATGTTGTAGTGGCATTTTACCAGACTTCCCAATGACCAGCTGTTTCGCTGAAAATGATGCACCCTGGCCTTGTCCTTCTATCAGATATAGTCTCAGTCTATTCATGCTTCAGTGCACATTTTCAACCTCTCTTTTCTTTGTAGTTTTAAAGATGTGCTCCTACCTCTGACAGCAAGCTTGCTAAATGTGGCTACAAGCCTAAGAAACGACAGGTGAGGTCATATGATAGCATCATGTGTCACTCTCAAGCGCTCTGGGTCAGGTTGCATTGAAGTTCTGTTTAAAAAGTCTGGATTAAATAGTCTTTTCGGCCCGTATTTGGACCAGAGTATGAGGACTCTATATACACTTTTTAGATTAACTAATTTAGACGTAACACCATTCGTAGCTGTGTGCAGTATCCTTTCCCACACTGTTGGCCTTGTATAAAATGTGAGCAACCTCTCTTTAGAGCCAATTCATTAATGGACAGACATGGACAAACTTTGCTTAGGAATGTGAAAACACTGCTTTTTTAAATAGTCTGTCGCTTGTGTTGTTCTTTACATAGAATGCAAATTAACAGAACTAGTGCTTAAGGGTAATGAAATGGTATAGAGCAGTATAAAAGACGCAAATGAAAACATCAGTAAAGGAGTTTAATTATTTTGTTCCTCAAATTATTGATTATTGAATTATTGATGCTAATGACCGTGATTTTAGAATAATCATTAATTAAAATATAGTCCCATAGTAAAATAATCTAAATCATTGCTTACATTTAACATAAGCATCCTTACTCAGGAAAAAAACTGATTGAGAAAATGATTGAATGAATGAATGAATGAATGAATGAATGAATGAAGAGACGGAAGGTTTCACAGGGACAACAGGAAACACAGACATGCACTCGCTGTAGGCAACTGGTGACTGCTGGTGGTGACTCTTCTGACTGTGTGAGCGTGTTGGATCTTGTTCAATGGAGTGGGAATGTTTACTGTCAAGCTGTTATCTGTTGGTGTACGTGCTCATGTGTTATTTACTTGTCACAAACATTTTTAGCTCCAAACAGAAGAATTTGGCACTTTGCAGGGGAAGAAATGCTCGGTACCTGTTTCTCACTTGAGCAGATCACGATCTTGATGATGTTTAAATGTAGGCGTTACAGGGAGCTTATGTTAGGAAATGAATCTACAGTAGTCAGTGAAAACTTCTTAAAGGTAAACCACCTGTAAGTCTCAGAGAGAGAGATTTATATTGTCTCCATTAATTGTTAAGAAGTTCTTGTATTGTTCCTGCCCTGACTTGCCCAAGAGAGAAAGTTCTAGAAACCTGAGGCCTGTACTACCAAACTGGTGACTTCAGGAGTAACTCAGTGACATTGGGTGTAACTTCCAGTATTTAAGTGTATCGTGCTACAAAAGGTGGATAAGTTTTACCCGAGGTATGTTGTCATGGCAATTTACCCTCCATCTTTGCCAGCTTCTAGGGCCAGAATGCATTTGTTCCCATTTAATTGTTATAAAGATCATATAGACTTTTTATGGTTGCAGGTAATTCCCAATATAAAAATACTTTCTAATATGCATAGATGAGGCCTGTATACAGAACACTTTAATCCAGAGGTTGAATGGTGCAACTGACCGTACACCTATTCTAACAGTTGCATTACATTCACACAGATTGCCTTCAACCTGTGTGAAGCTTTAGGGAGTAGATTTTAAATTTAATTTTAATTAATAAGTTTTCCAGCATAGAGCACTTTTAAATTCATGTAAATGAATCAATTTGAGATATTCTGATAATCTGAGATTTTTTTTCTGTTAATTTACTACTATAATCTTGGAAATTTACCACAGTTTTATATTCAATTATATCATAAACATTATACCTCAATGTTTCCTCTTACAACTTTACATGAATATCATATGCGTCATTGCTACACTCATCACAGTACTTCTGACCTCTGTGTCACGGCTGGGTAATTGCTATCTGTGAAACTTTAGGCCGCATGTCTAGTCAGTCCTTTTGGTTCTTGTCCACAAAGGATGTTTATTTCATTAGTCACTGCTTTATGTCTGCTTTTATCAAAATGCTGTCAGATTTGCAAATTGTTTACAAAGTTCTGCTCATCTTTTCAGATACATTTTGGGTCACTACGAGCTACGATATGATAACAGGAGGCATCTGCAGCGCTGCTTGTAAACACATATATCACTTTACACGTTTATGCAGAATAAACAATTTTAACTACCGGAACAGGAAAGAGGTTGGGGGGGGGGGGGGGGGTTCAACATGGAGTACAGGAAAATTATCCACAGTGATGTACTCAAGTTAGGGAGCGCACAGAATCAAAAATTCCTTTATTGAAAGCTTACTGCTGAGTCAACTGCTCCCATTCTCCTTTCCTTTCTTCCCCTCTCCCATTCTTTTTTACTTTGTCTAGACTCAGAGGGACATTTTTTAATAGGCCACACATGCTTAGGCTTGTCTTGGATGACTGAACATCTTGCTTGGTCATATTGTGTGTGTGTGTATGGGTCTACTTAGTGAGTATTTCTTTTTCTCTTTTTTCAAAAATGAAATTTGATCAGCAGTGTTTGTAACCACATAACAAGCAAGATTTTAACCGGTTTAACAGGTTTTTGGCTTGTTATGTTATGTTAAGTGTTTGTTATACCAAATTGAACCCGCGTTCTCAGCCATGTGTATCGGTGAGGTAATAGTGAAACTAAAACACACAACTGAGCTGTGTCTCCATAGTAAGTTGCTCAAAGTAAACATCTACTAAACGTGACAAGATAGAGTGGGCTGTGTGTCAACGTGTATACATGCTGCAAATAGTTGCCTATTAGTTGTAGAATTGCAGTATTTTGACTTTGTACTGAACTGTGTGAAAACTGTTTAGTGTGTGTTTGTCATGCATGAGCACTGTAACTAGTGGTATGTTAATGTAGCATGGCTTCACAGGTGTAGGTGCATGCAATATCTTTTTATTAATTCTGGGGTGTATGGTTGACTGCATGAATGAGCGTGTGTGATAATGCCCAGCTTTGTCGGGTTTTTACTCAACACCACTAAAATTGTTTCATCACCAACTCCCACTCCTGTGGGTGCAGTCGGATCAAGTCACTCCCTGGCGCAGTTTTGACAAAATACCATATCACGTAATTTATGAAGTAATATTTGGTAAGGCTGTCACAATCGAGGTTGTATCAAACTTCAAAGAAAGACAGAAACGTGCCTGAAGGTGTGGGGAGACTTACCGATCAGAATGTAGGAGCCTGTGAAAGGAAGATCCAGGTGGAGGAGTGGATTAGATGTGACTGCTTGCCCCTCTTAAGGTGCAAGACCCTTTCTGTTGGTGACTGCTATGCACGATGACAAGTTCAGATTCAGTAATACAGTGGTTTACAACCCTTTTATTTGGAACCTTTGTACCCTGTCATAATGTAGATGATGTATTTTTTTATTCTCTTATGATAAGCTTTAATTCAAAAGAGGATCCTCAGTCCTCTAGGCATACAGCTACTGCAGGCACTGAAAATGTTATTGCACTGATAATGACCAAATAACCCAAGGTGAGACAAAAAGATACAAATTATTGTATCAGCAGTTTGGTCAAAACCTACGTAATACAGGCTTTTAATGTCTGAAGTCTGGCGCTCTGTCTGAAACCTGTGTAATTCTGAGCTTTTGTATCTGTTGCACAAAAACCTTCAAATGCCAAAAATGCTTAGTCTTGTTCAGTGTATATCGCATGATTTCTTTTTTTATTAAAAAATGCCACCCAGCCTGTAACACTGGTGCACAGTCCAGTGTGTGACAGATGGAAATCACAAAACCTCAAAGTCAAAGGAGAAGTTAATAATATTGAGCAGCGGCAATAGACAGAATTTCTACTATGAAGAAGTAACACAAATGTTCATCTGCAGTATGTGAGTACATGATTAGTCATTAAACTCATGATAACACATTTGATTTTAACCAGGAGTTGGCCCAACAGCTGATTTTCTTTATGTCATTCATTGTGTGCGTCAGTAATGAACAACTAAATTCAGTCAGGCTGTTAGTTGTCATTACCTGGATTTAAGTAGGTTACCTCTTACTGTAGGAGTGTCTATGAAGATGTGGTGAGTAACACGTGTTATCTAGCAATGGTTTCCATAGAAATGTATCAACACTTCCTAGGTGCTGGAGAGGAAGGGAGAATGGCGTAATGCTGAACTAACATAATTGCCACTAAAAAAAGATGGCTGCAACATTTAATCAGAAAATCCTTTATTTACAGAGATGTTTTGGTTGTGCTGGTCTTCATCATGACTTCCTTCCAACTATATTAATCATTCTCAAAATCATACTGGAAGTTCTGCACCCAGGCCTGATGTGATATTGGACAGAACATTCATAAGGCAGAATTTTAACATGATTGTTTCCCTGCTACATGAGAAAAATTGCAACAGAGAGAATACTGAATAGACTGTTATCCTAAATTCAGTGATGATGATTAACACAATTGTTTGTCTATTAGGACACAATAAGAACTTACAAGGGGAGAAACATTACACAGATGCCTTCTGACAGGCTATTAGGGGTCACCAAATAATTTAATGAGCATGAAAATGAATCATATGCCTTGGCCTATGCGGTAAGTGTTCTCTGCCACCATCATCAAAACACCAAGTGAGGGAATGTTTTTCGGAATAATGGCGTTTATGGAGCGAAACCTGTCACAGCTGTGTCTACGGAGTGTGTGTCTGTCTTTTTGAGTGTGTTTACTAAAGAGCTTAAAAACTAGTTGTCCTTAAGAGACTCAGGAAACAGTCATAGAGCTTACAACATGGACAAAGACATGCAAACCCACACGCATACAATGTTTCCATGTATTATGCAGCATGTAAAATTATCACCCCCTCTCTCTTCCAGGCTCGCCCTGCTCTGGGGTCTAACTGCTGAGCATGCTGGGTAAGGCTCCGCCCACGACCAGTAGCCTCAACCTGGTGAACTCGGAAGTTTGTGACACCACGGCGGCCCCGGACGCGCACGACGGTATCAAGATGGCCGACCTTGTGGAGAGCCTGGATACCAGAGAGCTGGACATTGGGGAGGGAGAGGAGATCGACTATGATGGAAACTTAGGTGGGATTTCACCACCATTCCTCCCCAGAACAAGATAATACCTAAAAATAATCATAATATTGTTTTAAACACAATAAATCTGACTGAGGAATACTTGAAAAGCCAATTAAAACTGAACAAAGCAGTCTGTGTTTCTGGTGACAGGAGATTAAACTTAACTTAACTAAGAACCAGATTCATTGTTCATAAGCACGGTTTGCCATATAAGCCCAAAGCAATAAGTTTTCCTTTACATAATTTAGATCTCACAAACCTTACTGGAGAATAAACAGAAACATTTGACCTTACACTGCAAACTAGGAAAACATAAAAAGTCTGATTTCAGTGCTCCCAAGCGGCCTGAACAACTCCTACATGCACAAGCAGAAAAACCACACTAACCACCCACCTCTCTCTCTCTCTTCCAGGGGACTGTCGTATCCAATTTTCAGCGGTGTATGCCACAGTGGGCTTTAAGGAGGCCAATGCTAAGGTCTACCTCCCCACTGTGCCCATCACTGCCCGGATCCTGGAGGTGGAGAGATTCACCACAGCGCAAGACCGCTTCAACCTGTCGCACCACAGGAGCGTCAACAAGGTACTGCACACACACGCTGTTAAAATAAAGCCATCATAAGCTAATTTTTGCTTTTAAAATAACCACTTCTAAAGCAACTAAAATAATTCTAACCCAATGTTTGCCATAATATATATTAAGCTCATCATCATCATCATCTCAAGACTCACTGCTACCCTTCCCTCAATTGTGTGTGTGTGTGTGTGTGTGTGTGTGTGTGTGTGTGTGTGTGTGTGTGTGTGTGTGTGTGTGTGTGTAGTCTCTGCCAGCAGTGTTCAGGATTGAGCTGAAGCACGGTGAGTTTACCTGGGTGGTTAAGAGGAAGGAGAAACATTTCATGGAGCTGCACAGAGAGCTGAGGACATACAAGACTTTCATGCGGATACCTCTGCCATCACGCAGGTTGGTGCCTACACACACAAACACACAGATTTTACAGTCCTGCACCAGCAACACTAACAGACCCAAGTTTAGCCGTATACACAAACGCACATGCACACTTGTTTTTCACATTACACTGACTGGAGATTGACCCTAATATCAACCTAAAATCCTATGACTTAATGGGTTACCTTGTGGCGAATAGCTTCTTGTCCCCACCTGGGAGGTAAGTTCCCACTAGTTTACAGATTCTTTCCCCACAGCGTGAGTACGATACAAAACACACACACACACACACACACACACACACACACACACACACACACACACACACACACACACACACACATACAGGTGCATAGACACACTGAATAGGATTAACATATTCAAAGAATAATGTTACATTTAGTGAAATAAACTTATGTGCTTTCTTGCCAAGAGTTAGATGAGATCAGTACTGTTCTCGTGCCTGTACACCAAATATTCAGATGGGACTAGGAGCCAGTTAGCGTAGCTTAGCATAAAGATTGGAAACAAAGGGAAACACCTAGCTTGGCTCTGTCCAATGTTTAAAAAAATCACATGTATTGTGTATGTATGTATTGTAAATTTCACTTATTAACATGTTAAACACATGACAAGTGGTTTTATGAAGAGGTTCATATGGGAATTATTTCTTGGTGACCAGCTTCTTGTGATAATGGACTGTAATTACAAGAACAGTTTGTTTGTGTCTGGTTTCATTTGTGAACATACTGCCCCAAATACATCAAACAAACAAAAGTAGCTAATTCAGGCTATTTAACCACAAGACTACAGTAGCAGTAACTATCTTGGAATAATGCATTTTCCTGTTATACACATTCTGCCAGCATTGCGTGAATGTGGCAGCAGTTGCCAGGCAACCGGGATGTCTCCAGAAAGTCACTGTGTTCAAAAAAGGTTCCAGCACCTAATTCCCCCCTAAAACCACCAGTTGTCGTTTATACAGTTCGGTTTGTGTATGGATTAAACAAACAAGACAGATTTAGAGGTGGTGGTGGTGCATGTATTGTGTAGACTAGCCATTTCCCTCTGCTTCTGGTCTTTATGCTAAGCTAAGCTAATTGCCTCCTGGCTCTCGCTATATATATAAGGGGGCAGACATGGTATCATTCTTCTCATCTAAATCTTGGCAAGCATATATCCCAAAATGTCAATCTGTAGCTTGCAGTATATTCATCTTCCACTTTAATAAGTTTTCATAGAGTTACCTTCCCCTCCCTCTCCCTGTCTGTTTTTCTCTCTCTGGTGATGTACACACTTGAAAACAAACAAAGGTTGCCCTTGGTTTTTAATAGGATTTACTTTTGCCCTACTCCCTTTTTCTCTCTCCCTGTCTCTGTTCTTTTGCCTCTAAAATAATTAAGTCTCCCTTTTTAGTAAAAAAAAAAAAAGGTCAATTTATGCCACTTTGGTTGATATAACACATCAGTGAGTCAACCTGCAAACCGTCAATTTATTCAGGCTTTTAAATTTGCCTGTCTAAACACCTGCTGGCATGAAGGTACACAGAATTATGTATTTTAATTTTGGCTTTTGGGGCTTTTAGCATTGGGCAATTGTTGAATAGAAACAGGCAAATGTTGTCTGGGCTTTGTCCTTAAAGCAAAGTATTAAAACAATGTTCAATTTGACAGGTGCTCTGAAAAAAAAAAAGTCTGAAAAAGCATCTTCAAGCATCTTGGACTTTTTAATTGAACACTTTTTAAAATGTTTTCTCCCTCTCTGTCTCAGCCACACGGTGAGGAGAAGGACAGTGAGGAAGAGTGAGGTGAGGGAGATGCCCTCCCTGCCGAGGGGAGGGGGAGACGAGCTGGTGCGAGATGAGCAGGTCTCCAGCAGGAGGGTACGTCTCAGTTTTGTCTGTCGTTTTCCTGATTGGAAAATTCACTCTTGTCATATTTTAACTTTATGGCAAGGAGCTCTCCTGGCACTTGCTTGTTGCCATGGCATTTAACTCCTTGCCAGCACATGTATCCCCTAAAACCCATCTCTGACTGTGTGTGTGTGTGTGTGTGTGTGTGTGTGTGTGTGTGTGTGTGTGTGTGTGTGCGTGCATATATGTGCGCATGTTAATGTTTATATGCATGGATTTTGTCATTAAAATACTCACAGTGGCCAAAATATAGTGTATGTGTTTTTACAGAGACAATTAGAAGACTATTTGAACAAGCTGCTGAGGATGGCCATGTACCGCAAATATCACCATACTGTGAGTAATCAGACTAATCACTGCAAGCTGTGTCTCTTTAACATAACCTCATAATGACTGCCTACCGATCTATATGTTCAAGTTAATACTAATTGTGTGTGTATCATACTCTCGGCATGAGATAGATGTGGAATATCTGCTACTGTAGATACCTGAGATGGGCTGTAGAAGTGGATATAAATAGTGATATAACAATGTTTCAGCATTTTACTGCACTCTACCCTTAAGGTGGAACATTGTTCCATAGTGGAACGTAGTGCAGTGTTGACACAGATTGTTAATGTGTTTACCCATAGCACTGTGTCTGCTTTATGTTGACACACTCAAGGTATTTAAGTATATTATTACTGCTCATATAAGATACTCTCGTGAGAAACATAACGCATCGGTTGCTTTTACATGGAAATTACATTAAAAAAAACAACTTTTCATTTAATGTAACAATACATTTACAACATGTTACATGTAGTATCTTTGCTTATTTCTCATTTCCCAAATCAGGTGTTGTAAAATAGGGAGGTGACTTATAACAACATATTTACCCTTTTGTATACTAAACCTTACCTACTTACCTTACCTTTATGGTGAAATGAGCCTTAAAATAGATCAATACTATGTTTCATTACATCAATGTGCCTATGCTGTACTGACAAAAACAACTCGTAATAATTTAGTCACATTACCTCCAGGTGGCTGCTATGTGTGGATGTAATAGCTGCCTGCTCACAGTTCCATGTCGATGTGTACAGAATGTATCAAGTTTTTGTTGTCTGTCTGTACAAGAGTCACTGTGCTATCTCTTCCTGTCTATTCTCAGATGGAGTTCATTGACGTCAGCCAGATGTCATTCATTCATGACTTGGGACCCAAAGGACTGTGAGTATTTTCTCTTCTTTTAATCCCTTTTTCTTCCCATCTGTAAAAACAGCCCTGTTTAGTCTTGTGTAAGGTGAAGAAGCAGTAAACACCAGAGTGCTGGTTGAACTTGAAATCCCATCCCAAGTGTACTCATTTACAAACTTCCAAGTATCCTGTTTTGTTTTAAAATTCCCTTACATTCCGTATTACAAAAGATATTTAACCATTGTCTCTCTCTCTGCCAGGGAAGGGATGATCTATAAGCGCTCAGGCGGACATCGTATCCCTGGCATGAACTGCTGTGGTCACAGCCAGGCCTGCTATCGCTGGTCCAAACGGTGTGTGATTACTTCCGTCCTTGTGTGTTCCTCTGTTTGTCTCTCTTTACCTTTGCCCTTGTCTTTCTGTCTTTTTTCTGTTTGTGTCTTTTTCATTCTCCCTGCCAATATGTTAGTTGCCATGTTCACATCATGTATATTGCTTTTCTTGACTGTTTTTCTTCTTGTAGACATTCAGACAATCTGAATTTATTTTGCCATAACTTAAGTTAAATTTTTTGTCTTCACAGCAACTCTCTTGCCATTTTGGGTTTACTGTAACAGTCCAGAGTGGGACTTCTTAATGGCTTATGCTACTAAAAGATGGATTAAAAAGAAGGATTGAAACTTTTTTAACTGGCAATCTTTGTCTAAAATGTAGGTGTGATGATGCTTTCTACAGATTTCTGGCAGGAAGCTGATTGTGGGTGTTTAAACGCAGTGATCACATTGCATATTTAAAAGCATAACGATAATAGCATTTTAATAAGTCGTCAGGTGAATTTTCTTTTCATTCTTTTGTAGTTTGCTAACAAAATATCAGTAACATCTTCATACCAGCTGCATTGGCACATGCTTGTCTCTCCCTTCATCTGTTTGTCTGTTTTATTCTCCTTCTCTTCATCACAGCCAAATTATTATGTGAGCAGTTTTTGTTATCATTTTCTAAAGACAACACAAAAACAATCCCACACGTATGAAACGTTTGGCCCATCCACCTACATCCCCATGTTGATTCTCTTCCTACACCCTTTCTTTAAAACGAGAAATGTAAGAAATGGTCCACAGCAATCAACAAAGATCCACAGAACTTGACAGAGACACACAGATCATAAAGCCTGAGGATGATGATTATGTTATGTTGAGGGCTATGTTGTGTGTGTGTGTGTGTTGTGTAGCTGGCTGGTGGTGAAAGACTCATGCCTGCTGTACATGAAGCCAGACACAGGGGCCATCTCTTTTGTCCTGCTGTTGGATAAAGAGTTCAGCATCAAGATGGACTCCAAAGACACCGAGACCAAACACGGAGTCCGGATAGATAGCCTCTCCAGGTGATATTTCTGTGTGCGCGCTTGTACAGCTGAACATTCAAACTTTTTAGCAGGTCACATCAATTTTGAGCAAAGGCTTACAATAGATTGTGAGGCTAATGTTATTTCAACACCATTTGAAAAGAAAATCCACCCTTAGAGTGCTACACTGTTAGACTGCTGATAGAATCAGTTTATGGTGTTGAAAATGTATTCCAAAGGGTTATATTGTGGTGTACAGTTTTCAGCCTGCCTCATTCAGTTCTTACTCAGTGTTTTTCTACAGTAAGAGGAATCAAGAGACTTCTTACAAGCCCCAGGCAACAGGTGTAAACTTGTTGCATCCATTTTTAGGTTTTATATGTAGGTGGAAAACATTATAGCAGTGGTAGGCATGGAGAAAAACTCTTTCCCTTGCTAAGAATATATTAGATTTCATTCAGGTTTGCTCATTCTACTGTGCTGAAACCATATGTTGACTATTAATAGATCATTTTAGATGCTAAAAGCTTTTTTGCAGTCCAAATTGCACTGAAAATCCCAGAAAATGAATAAAAGATCCCAAGTGGGCCCACAACTCACAGCTTCATTGCTTAAAGCTGTACGATACAGTACGGTATTACAGGGTGGATTGTTTTCTTTAGCTCCTTTTCATTCCAGCACTCTTAATCCAGCTCTTATTTTATTTTAGGAATAATTGCCCAGCTGTTAAGCTAACAGGAGCATAAAATTCCTCATTTTTTTGGCACCAATGCGCTTCAAAATGACTACATGTATCTGTATGTGTGAGCACAGGCACGCATATTTATTTCACTGTGTCTGTGTTTGTATCTGTGTACATCCTCCTGGTAGGACCCTGGTGTTCAAATGCAGCAGCTACAGACACGCGCGCTGGTGGGGTCAGAGTATTGAGAGCTTTGTGAGGAGTCATGGGAAGGCTTTTCTCCGAGCTCACCGCTTTGGCTCATTTGCACAGGAACAGGAAGACATCCCGTCCAAATGGTAACTACACTGGTGGAGCTGTTACTAATGTTGGTGTGTCAGTGGAAAAAATGAATGCAGATAAAAACACTAAGAGGCACATACAGCAAAAAAAATAAAAAATACAGGTTTTGAATTAGTTTCAAACTGTTATTTGTTTCTTTGTAACAGACCTATGTAGTTTTTTGTAAGAAAAATGTTTAGTAGATTAATCATGTTCTCTACAGGAAAGCTGCACAAATAAATAAAACTCAAAATACACAAATTTTCTGCATATGTTATTTTCTCTCTGCCTTCCTCTGTAAGCCTTTCACTGGTAACTATGGAAATGTATGAGAGGAATCAGCAGTCAGCTCTCTCTTTGCCATCTTTCAACTCTTTTTTGCATTCTCTCCCCCTCAGCTGGCAGATAATGTGATATTGAATCATCTGTGTGATAATGTCATTACGTTGTCTTTGCACTGAGCCTGAGAGGAAAACGTGCTGCGGCCCTGTGAGCTAATGGAAAAGTAAAGAGTAGTTGTGTCATGATGACACAGCCATGGGTGTAGCTTGAAGCTTGTGAGGTTAAACAAGTTGGAGAAGTGAACAGACTCTTTATGCCTCTTCTTTTGTTCATTCTGCTGTTGACCTAATTGTGGTTTTCTTGCAGTTTTGGGGGCAAGCTGTGACAAAACCACTTTAAAAAAGGCAGAAGTAGTTATCCCTTTACGGAACAGTAAAATATGAAACACTTACCTGTGTGCATGTGTGTGTATATTTTAACACAAGCACATGGGACACTAATGCCTGTCTTCACAAGCTACTCAGAGTATTTTTTCTTGCAGGTATGTGAATGGAAAGACTTACATGGAGGATGTGGCTGATGCTTTGGAGGAGGCTAAAGAGGAAATCTTTATCACTGACTGGTGGTAAGTTCCAGTGTGTTTTTGTGTGTGTGTGTGTGTGTGTGTGTGTAAAAATGTGCAATGTCAAATATTTTGGTTAAAGTGAGTCTGCTGTCAGGACTTGAAGTGTGAGTAGCCAGAAATAAACAGATGGGCTACAGAATATCTGTCCTGCTTTTACACTGTAACATCCAGCGCAGCCTCAATGTAGTGTTAGTGTTAGTGGACTCAACCAGGAGCCAGTATCACGAAGCAGGTTTAACTTTGTCTGGATCTCTTTAAGCTACCTGTCTTCACTAAGCCTAACATTGGACATTTTGGATAACTGGTATCAACTGACTCTGTTAACTCTGGGAATTATTATATAGGTGTCTTCCAATATGTTTGGCATCTTCAGCATGTTCTGTATTAAAGAATTAATCTGGACTTTCCAGTAAATTGATTATTTATGAAGGGATTATGCATTGATTCTGTTTAATAGTGGAATTTCAATGCTTTTTGATGTCACATGATGAACAAACAAAAAATTAACAAGTGATAGACTTAAAAAGCAAAATAGAAGCAAGGTAAGGCTGTTTCTGCTGCAAAAGCAGAGGAAAAAGTACAGACAGTCTGTCCAAAAATAGAGCTAGGACTATAGAAAAGAAAGGATTACTCAATATGATGCAGCTGTTTTTTAACCCAGTGGCCACACACAAAGTTGTGCAAACATGTTGCTTCCGTCTCTGACATAAACATCATGGTTGGAAAATGATCTACTGAACTATAAAAATATTTGTTTTCATCCATGTTTTCATGCACACATTGCTGTGGAGCATTACCACCACCTTTGGGTCAGTGGAATAGTGTGAACTGTACCAACATACTACTTAGTAGCAAGTTTAAGTGCAGAGAATGCAGTGGCCTATTTTGGATAAACTGGAGGTGTGTCTTTGGCAGATTATTTTGGTTAAGAGTGTGGTTAAGTTGCTGTGTCACAGTGGTGTAGTGGTGGTGTTTCCATGCTGTTTCCCCATGTTTCCAGTCTCTCTCTCTCTCTCTCTCTCTCTCTCTCTCTCTCTCTCTCTCTCTGTCTCTCTGCCGCTGTCTCTCGATTCTTGAAAAACGGCAAAAATGTCCCAAAAAAATGAATCTTAAAAGAGCAGGCTAAGGTTGTCGTCATGGCTACAAGATATGTCTGATTGCAGAATCATGTGATACGTGCACAAGTATTTACTGCATCAAAATCAACCATCACAAACCTATCTATGTGCTGATACCCAGTTAATATAGTGCATGCTGTTACACATTACATTAGTAATAATGCACAAGGCACGAGCCCTGGCTCTCTGACAAGCAATAGAATAGTACTGGGTCTCATTACAGCCTCATCCACACAACCAGAATAGAAATACACTGACAGGAAGATACAGTCTACATAGTGTCTGTCCACACTTCCGCAACATCTCCTTTGCTTCTCTCTGTCTCTTCTCAGTTTACTGTCTTTTTACTTGTCAGGGGTCATGTTCCTCACATAAGGACTGATTATGTGACACTTGTGAAGTGTTTGTACACACGTGCTTGCATGTCTGTTTTGTTTTTTACAGTATATATGTGTCATTTTCAGGCATGTAATCCAAGTATACAATGAAGTTTAGGGTTGGAAATGTGTTAAAGTGAAGAAATACTACAATTTCTGTTCAAAACAAAGGAAAAAATAATTTATCGCCTGTAAAAACGTGTTTGTCAGATGACACACCTGTACTTTAAGGGTACAGTAACCTGTAAGCAGTCTTGCTGTGATGCAAATTAAATCTAAATATCATTAAACGGCTCAACCGCTTCACATTGTAGAGAGGCTTTTTCTTTCAGTTTTATCACTATCATACCTTTCAAACTGAGTTTTCTTTTTTCTAATGGGAAATAAACACTGTATTTTTCTCGAGACACAGTTATAATATTCTTGACAGTGTAATTTCAAATATAATAGTTTAGGGTCTCTGGTTGCCAAATGTGCGACGTGGCTGAAATCCCTGAGTTCCAAGGCAGTAATCACTGGGCTTATGGTCTTAACCAATGAGGTGTCAGCCTGTGTAATGTGAGCCAATGGCATTGTAGACATGTAAGCTCAGGATGCCAATGTGAGTGACTCATGAGACTATATCATTATGTCATGTCTGTCATATGTATGGTGCATTCAACATGTTGGTAGCTCTAAAGGGTTAAACATGAATCTTGTGAATGTTTTTTTAAGTAATAATGATGCATTTAGGGAGGGTTCTGTAGGCACTTGAATGCCTGAAAGAAACGTGTAATTTTCTCTTTTAAACTGTTTCTCCCTCTGCCTCCCTCCCGTCTGTCTTGGTAATCTTTTTCTATCTTTCTTTATCACCAGGTTGAGTCCAGAGATTTTCTTGAAGAGACCTGTAGTGGAAGGCAACAGGTGGAGGCTAGACTGCACCCTCAAACGCAAAGCAGTAAGTAGGCATTAGATTCCCAACATTATGGAAGCCACAGTCTAAGTGTTGATTACTATAGCCTCTTTAAACACAACCTCTGAAGCCAGATATCCATCAACCCAAACCTTTAAGCTGATGTATTTCTTTATAATGTAAATTCATGCATATCAGCCTGATGATGTGGGATGGCGAAGATTTCCTGTGTACAAATATAAACAGATATATATGTGAATTGAAAGTAAACAGAAATCTGTGCAGCACAGGTAGTTTGAAGATTATAGAAAGATGAACAGGATTACATCATTACAGGGTTTCTTCTTCTGATATTATTCATACTGTATTGACGCATAAGAAATATGTGAAAAGATGTTCTTAATATTGTTTGTCCTTTTCTGCCTCTCTACAGCAACAGGGAGTGCGGATCTTTGTGATGTTGTATAAGGAGGTGGAGCTCGCCCTGGGCATTAACTCAGGCTACAGCAAGAGGACCCTCATGCACCTGCACCCCAACATCAAGGTAACTGAAGGATTATGGGTAGTGAAAGAAGATGCAGTATCAGTGCCAGCATATATACCGTATATAATGCACTAGTTTTGACCAGACTGTCTACTATAATCACTCAAATATTAACCAGAAATGTCATTCTATGTTTTCTTTTGCAATCTGCACAACTTATGGAGTCTATGAACTATATGTGTGAATCCATGTGTGCTGAATTTCCCATTTGTGGTTCAGGTGATGCGTCATCCAGACCACGTCTCCTCCTCCGTCTATCTGTGGGCGCATCATGAGAAGATCGTTGTCATTGACCAATCAGTGGCCTTCGTGGGCGGCATCGACCTGGCATACGGTCGCTGGGACGACAGAGAGCATCGGCTGACGGATGTCGGCAGTGTGACACGCTCTGTGGCCCTGGAGCAGGTCAGACACACAAATACGACAAACACACACAACTAATTAAACTGTCTTGTCCACAGTTTGGAGTTATTGGCAATAAATGTGGTTGACAAATGGTTCAAATATGAGGAGAAGGAGGAGAGGAGAGGAAATGGTTTCAGTCAAACTCACACTGCCTGTGTGGGGAGTGAGTATGTGCAAGAATACAGAACACTTTCATAGTGCCAGCTATCAAACAGGCCTCTTCATTTTAAAGACACACATACAGTATAAGCACACATACATTCTCATACACAACTACACAAACATATGCTACGCTATTGACCTCAGGGTCAATATTACTAGAGTATTTAATCAAGGATGTGATGACAGTTGTTTTGTTGTTAATCAGTTCCTATGAATCAAAACCCAAACTGATTCATACATGGACTGAATTACAAACATTGATACACACATGCACAGAAAACACACCAAACCCTTAACCTGTGCTTGTCAACCTTGTTTTCATGTTCCCAGGCTGGCTCCACAAACACTCCGTCCGGTAAGCGTGTGTCCTCTGACCATGGCGTCGCCAAGAGCAACGGACAAGGGACGCCGCCCGGTGATCTCGTGGACTTGCCCAAACTGAAGGGGATTGGACGCAATAGGAGGGCTCGCTTCAGTCTGTACAGACACCTGCAGAAGCATGCTTTGCAGCCTGCGGACAGTGTCAGCAGCGTCGACAGTGCAGGTATGTTTATATGAGAGAGAAAATGTCACAGTATGAACTGGGTGAATGAAAGGCACTTTGTAAAGAACTTTTCTATGAAAGCGTTCTATACATGTGCTGTATATGCAGTCAGTTTACCATAATATTTTTGTGTGTGTGTGTGTGTGTGTGTGTGTGTGTGTGTGTGTGTGTGTGTGTGTGTGTGTGTGTGTGTGTGTGTGTGTGTGTGTGTGTGTGTGTGTGTGTGTAGGGAGTGGTTCAGTGCGAAGCCTAAAGACAGGTGTTGGAGAGTTACAGGGGAACACACGCTTCTGGCATGGAAAAGACTACTGCAACTTTGTCTACAAAGACTGGATCCAGTTGGAGAAACCTTTTGATGGTCTGGTGCACACACACACACACACACACACACACACACACACACACACATAAATAGTAAGGTATTATACTTAATGATAAGTTTCCCCCAAAATATTTTTTGTATAAAAAGCCCTACTCAGTATTAATCTTAGTCTCATGAATGTTCCTGTTATACCAGTTTGATGGAAACAGAGTCTTTTGGAAAACAAAACTTTTTTTTTTCTCCCTCTCTCCGCACCAAACTCTCTGACCCCGCTGTGCTCCCATCTTCTCTCCTTCTGCCTGTCCCTTTGCTTTGTTATTCTGCCCTACTGCATCCTTTCTCTTCTATCTCTCGCTGTCACACTTTTTTCCTAACTTCATCGGGGTTGCTTCCACTCCAAACAGACTTCATCGACAGGTACATAACTCCCAGAATGCCTTGGCATGACATTGCCTCAGTGGTTCATGGCAGAGCTGCCCGGGATGTGGCCAGACACTTCATTCAGCGTTGGAACTTTACTAAGGTACACTCACACACACACACACACACACACACACACACAGACACACACACACACACACGCGCACACACACACACACACTGTGTACACTGACAAACACACAGGGATGTGAAGCAGGATTCAAACTTAAAGCTAAACTTGTTTAACCAGGATTTTTATAAGCTGAAGCTTCTTTGTTTACAGAACCACCTTTTTAGACTGATAGCCTAGATTACTTGATTTTGGTGTTTCTGATGCAAAGTAAATCATGTAAAATGATTTTTTGACTTTAAAGAAACAGGACAACAAACACTTCTTAGGAAATGTCTGGCTGGAACTGTGGAAAAAACACCTTTTATCCTCAAACTCATGCCTTCCATGACATCAGCTTTTTCCTCCCATTCTCCCCTTTTTTGCCCTTTTCCTTTCCTCCTGTGACTCTGTATTTACCCTCTCTCTGCCCAAATTCTCCAACTGTACATTTACAGATCATGAAGCCAAAGTACCGCTCTTTGTCTTATCCATTCCTGCTGCCCAAGTCTCACTCCAGTGCCAGTGAGCTCAGATATCAAGTTCCTGATTGTGTCAATGCCAAAGTGCAGGTAAGAGAACTGAACACAACAATTAACTATTTTTACTACACTCATAAAACAACACATGTTGAGGAAAATGTTGTTTTATAATTAATCAAAATGAGAAACTGGGGCAAAAAAGAGGAATTCAGCGAACATAAAAAGAACCACTGGTAGAAAATGATAGACAACACACAGGAACACACACAGTATAAACTTCCCCACACTATTTTCCACATCCCAGTCTGCACTGCTGGAAGAAGAAGAAAGAGAATGAGCGTTAAAATGGGCCAAAAAGTTATGTAAGTCTAAAGGTTGGCACTTGTGATCAACACTCAAGGGTTTTTAGGCAAAAGGAACCGACCTTTGAATGAAATGCTTAAATACTAAAATAAGAAGTGCATGAAGATCCCATCATTGCTCCATCATGTTTTGTTTCAAGACAAAATGTTCTTTTGTTTTCACTTTTTCTTTTGTTTTTACATCTCTGTGAACGCTATGTGAAACTTCTCCTTTTGTATCTACCACTAATAATACACACCAATTTTGAAAATATGTCTTAAAACTTATTTATTGCTATTAGTAGTATTAAACGGAAGCACTGTATGTTATAGTTTATAATAAGGGGAAAACATTTGTGTTTATACTGGTGTTTGGTATTGCCTTATAATGATCACTGATGCCCTTAGTTATTATGTTTTTTTTACACATACACTTTTTACATTTGACCCATTTCTAATTGCTATAATACACCTGCAACCTTACTTGGCTGGAACTGTTGTCTTTCTAACATATACATTTTTTCTATGTAGCTCTTATGTATTTTAATACTATATTGGAGAAGACTAGCCATGCACAACCGTATGAATATGTGGTTACTGTCTTGAATTAGGTGCATAATGCTGCCGTCTTTTAGTATTACTGCTTTAATAATCCTATGTCTGTGTGTTTAAGGTGTTGCGGTCAGTCGCAGATTGGTCAGCAGGCATAAAGTACCACGAGGAGTCCATCCACAATGCCTACATCCAGGTCATCGTTAAGAGCAAACACTACATCTACATAGAGGTAAGCCAGCAGTGAGGCCAGGATATGAAAATAAAAAGCAAATACTGTAATGTGAAATTGTTATGAGAGTTGAGTTGAATTCTTCAGAGGTTTGTATATAAAGTCTGTCATCAAATACTTCCATTGAGATTCATTCTGTGTTGTTATTATGAACATTAAGATGTAGTTAGTTGTAACTGAACGCCGGAACAATTTTAATTGTCTCTGTTCGGGGTTGGCGTCCTTCCTTTCTCTCTTCTCCTATCAGAACCAGTTCTTCATCAGCTGTGCCGACAACAGGATGGTGTACAACAAGATCGGAGATGCCATCATTGAAAGGATCATCAGAGCGCACAAGTACTTCCCTTTATTTAAAACACTTCTTTCTCTAAGTTGTACTTGTGATAATAGAAGATGTGTCTCTCTTCTTCTACTTCTGCTTCTCACTGCTTGGCACTGCTAGTGTGTCTCTCTTTATATAACTGATATGTGTTTCCTCACAGGGAGGGTAAGAAGTACCGTGTGTATGTAGTTACCCCTCTGCTTCCTGGCTTCGAGGGGGACATCACCACAGGGGGAGGGAACGCCCTCCAGGCTGTCATGCACTTCAACTACAGGTGAACCACATGACACTTTTTGTCTGAGTTCAATATTGAAAGAGGAATAGTGAAGGGAAATGAGAAAGCAGATGTGGAAGTGTCATTAGATTTGTCTGTAGTCAAATTCTTTCAAGTCAAGGATGTAGGTACTAATATTCATGTGATATTTGATGAGCTTTATTCTCCTGCCTCCTCAGAACCATGATCAGAGGAGAACACTCCATCATCTCCCAGCTTAAAAGAGAGAGTAAGTACAAGAGTGAACTACAACATTAAATATTTTGATACCTAATATTAAGGTTAGAGTTGGAGAAGTGCTAATATTCTCCTAATTTCATCCTGTAATGCTCTCTTTTTTGTGCTTTTCTTCTCCTCTCCTCTCCTCCCCTCCTCTCCCAGTGGATGACCAGTGGATGAACTACATCTCCTTCGCTGGATTGCGAACTCACACCGAGCTGGAGGGACGCCTGGTCACAGAGCTCATCTACGTCCACAGCAAGATGCTCATCGCTGACGACAACACAGTCATCATCGGTTAGTCTCTCATCTGCTTCCATAGCCTTCTGTCTCTTTTATTTTTTCTCATGTTGTTTTCACCAACTACTATTTAAGGCAACTATCCTCTCTGCTTTGACACCATCGGAATGTGATAAATCTAAAAATCTGGCTTTATTTCTCTAGCTGTCACCTTGTGTGCAGCAAACAAATGTGCATACGAATGCTGTTTAAATCTTTACTGCTGTAACATAGCTCTGCAGTGCCCTCTGCTGGCTCACAGGGTGCATCTCAGTCTCTCACTTCAACAACAATCAACAAGTCAACAAATGAAAAAGCTGGAAATTGTTCCTACTTGCTCTCTTTCCTTTTTTTCACTGTAACTCTAGATTTGTATTAATTTGCATTTATAATAATAAGGTAAGTCAAATAAAGGGATATGATCTGTTATTAATGACTATCTGTGGAATTTAGTCCCCAGCAGTGGCTACCCATTACTATAGATCTGTTAAATGTGTTTAATGAACTTAGAGTGGCTAAATATTTTTTTCAGGTTCTGCTAACATCAACGACAGAAGCATGCTGGGTAAACGCGACAGCGAGGTGGCAGTCATCATTGAGGACTCAGAAAAGGTTGCGGCGGTGATGGACGGACAGGAGTATGAAGCTGGACCCTACGCACTTCAGCTTCGCCTCGAATGCTTCAGGTCCGTGTGAGAATGAAACAGAAGTTGTGTTTTAGAAGCACATTTATAATCTAGTGGAAACATTATGTAACTGTTCAAGGTGTTTGGATCTAATCACTTTAATAGATTTATCTTGCCATCCATATCCCCACAGCATTCAATTAGATGCCACTCTATAGTTTTAAAAGGAATACATGTAAAATAATTTTTGAAGTTCCTTCATGTGACAAAAACATTGACAGTCAAATAAAGTGATTTTTTTTCATTTTACATGTTTTTTAAATTGTATTCTCTCTTAACAGGACTATCCTTGGAGGCCACACTGACACCACTATTGACCTGTCTGACCCCATCAGTGACCGTTTCTATAAGGAGGTGTGGATGACCACAGCTGGCCGCAATGCCACCATATATGAGAAGGTATGGATGGATAATTCAGGGGGAAATTGAAAATAAAGTCATCAGGTGTTGCCAGATGGTGTTAAAACATTTAGACATGTACTGTAACTAACTCACAGATGTCAGATTTAAATTAAAGGAATCAAAGGTTAGTTATTTAAGAAAGGCAAATTCCTCATCTCCTCCTCTTTCTGTTAAAGACAGCAGTATGTTATATATAACATATGTGTGTTTTGCTGCAGGTATTTCGTTGCCTTCCTTCGTCCCTGGTGAGGAACATGTCGGAGCTGGAGCAGTACCAGTCCAAACCAGGTCTGGCGCAGACTGACCTTGCCCGCGCTCAGGAGGAGCTGCGCAAAATCCGAGGCTTCCTGGTCCAGTTTCCTCTCGATTTCCTGTCTGAGCAGAACCTCCTGCCCTCCGTTGGAACGAAGGAGGCCATGGTCCCAACGGAGATCTGGACATAAAGGACGTGTAACAGCTTCCAGCCACTTACGCATCTGAAACTGTTTCTCGAGCATCTTGAGTGACGTATCTGGATTGTGGTTGTCGTCAAATGTGTATTATTGGATTTGCAAGAGATCGCCTTGAATCAAGAGATGAGAGGCAGTTTCTTCTGGATTAATATGACTGCTGGGCATTGACAAATCTCTAAACTCTGTGCCTACTGGAAAACAGTAGTTACAGCTTATTAGGGTAAGCACTAAGTATCGGGATGTAAGAAGAACAAAATTAAACCACACTTGAGGACAACATTTTATGACTGCATTGTGACTGCATTCAAGCTGTGGAGATAAAAAAAAGGCACATGAACTTTGGGTTTTGGGAATCAAACTCGGGCACTTAGACCTTTTGGACTGTTGGAAAAGCGCACGAGACAGCATGGATTTCTGAGGGACCAGGGTGAGGCGGTAGTAAAGGTTTTGACAATGACGCTAACAGAAGCTCTTGAGCTTCACAAAACACACAGAGATTGTGATGCATGTGATTTATTGAGTTTGTAAAAGCATGCTTGTGAGGTGCGTTAGTGCTACGTATGTTGTTCATGAGCTCACAGAAGAGTTTGCCGAGCTGCTTTAGACAAGCTGAAGCATCTTGAGGATCGTTTCTGTAAAACAAATCCAAAACATGTGCTCGCTCTTTTCCCGTGCAGTACGTGCATAGAGACAATTTTACTTAATTCAACAGCAGTGCATGATTTACTAACTGTGCTCAAATCTTAACACGATTGCTATAATGCATGTACCAATCACATCTCTGGAAAACCCCGTCAGAGACATTATATTTCCTGTCAAAAACGTTTTGAGAATATATAATAGTCAGTCAGTCATGAGGTCTGAATTTTACTGCTGAAATCAAAGCGTTTGTGTTGAGCTGATCCAGGAACAAAAGCTAAGGCAACTCCGTTATATTGTAGTGTGTTCAGAAGGATGAGACAATCGGCCCACAAATTCAAAGGTGTCATTTCCTCTTTGCTCAACAGATGGTGCTAGCTTCTTACAAATACAGTTTGTGTACAGTAATTACAGGTTGTGGCAGTGTTGTAAATCACAAAAACAAGTTTATTATCAGGGACCTCAGTAGGGGACCGCTGGAGGTCCCTATTGTTTTTGCTTCGTTTCTTCTTACCTATTATTATTTTTAGCACTTTTGATTGCGTTTTTGCCCCCCTGAACATATACGAAAAGTCAATTTTATTTGGCAAAGTGGTCAGGCCTGGTGAAAAATTTTATATTCTATGTGTCGCTTTCGGGTCCGCCACTAGGTGGCGCTACTATCATGAAAAGTGTGTTTAGGCTAATAACTCCCGCATTGTTTGTCACACATTCAAAAAACTTATATCCACGCATTTGGTGAATAGAGCTGAATCTCCCCATATAGGCCACGCCCACTTCCGCCTGGAATTTTTTTCTGGCAGAGCACAAAATGTCCATGAACTACTTTTTCATGTTCCGTGTGCTTTGTCTGATTCGCACAAAAATTTTCACCTAGCATCTGAGGACCCTCATAATAAAAACGTGATTAAATGATAGTTATAGAAGAAGATAAAGAAGTTATAAAATTAGCACTGCTTGTGAATTTTTCGTCAAAAAAGGAAGTGGACCATTTCTCCACATTGGTATGTCCGATTGACATGGTCCATAGTTCCACATGTCTTCCTTAGGCATCTTGCACAGTTTCAGGCCATAGCCACAAGGTGGTGCTCTTTAAAATGAAGAAGTTTATATCTCTACAACGGTATGTTTGATTAAGATGAAACTTGGTATGATGCTTCCCCATGGCTCCCTTAGGCTCGCTAAAAAATGTGTCAACAGTCTGGTGGCATGGCAAATCGCTGTGCAGAGACCGTAATAGTTAGGAATATGGAATTCACAGGGTACATGTAGAGTGGTGCCTGAAGCTCACATACCAAAAATCATGTTCGTCGTGTTTGTAGCGCCCCCTACAGGATAAATAAACAGCAGCCCCGGCGCCACGTTTCACCGATATGTACGAAACTCAGTAGGCACGTGTAACATGCCGGGACGTACAAAAAAGCCTCTTGGACCCATACCCGAAACCCCACAGGAAGTCGGCCATTTTGATTTTCATTTTCACTTTCAGCGAACTTTTTGCGTTGTATTTGAACGAACTCCTCCTAGGGAATTTATCAGATCTGCTCCAAATTTGGTCAGTCCAGTCAAAACATGGTCCTGATTAAAAGTTGTGCTTTTTGTGCTTGTACGTTGAAGGGCGTGTCCGTGGCGTGCCCTCAAAGTTGGCCAGGTTGAATCGAATGTCAAACTGTGATGCCATTTCCGGCATTTAAGGGCTTCTGTTTTAACTAACTCCTCCTACAGATTTTATCAGATTGACTTCAAATTCGATCACTGTAATCTAAACACAATGGTTATCAAAAGTTGTGCTATTTGAGATGTATGTTGAATGGCGTGTCTGTGGTGTGCTGTCAAAGTTGGCCATTTTGAATTCTGTGGTCATGCAAACCATAAAAAGTTGAGCTATTTGTGACTGTAACTCAAACCGCGTGCCAGTGACGACTTGTCCAATTCAGCTGATTCGCCATAAAACAGTACTCATAACTTCAGTGTGCAATGTCCAATCTCCAATAAACTTCATATATTCTGTAACAGTCCTAGCCTGAACACATCCTCACAATTTCAGTGTACATTATCTGATCTCAACAAAACTTCACGTTTGATAAGAGGCCCGCCCTGAACACGTCTACATGACAATATTCAGACATAGACATAGCGCCACCTACTGGCAACAGGAAGTAAGCGCTGCGTGGCGATTTTGAGCTGATTTACGTGACATTTTCATGTCCGCACGTGTTGCGCCAGCACTTGACGTGGCCGCAGCGCGCCCCAGGTCCCGCTCAACGCTGCTTGCAGCTTTAATTAATGTGTTTTTTTCCTCATATTTGTGTGTGCAGTCAGCACAACTGTGAGGGAAAGATTAAGAGTACAAGTGAAGACACAAGGAACATAACAGAGGCTTACATGAATCAGAATTGGATAAACCAAGGATGACAAGCCCTCTTTCCTTCCTTGGAAGGATTATTATCATGAATGAGGTTTTGACCGACTTAATAGAGCTGATTCCTTATAATTCTCAGCACTATTCACATTTGGTTGGAACAGATGATTCAGTACCTGTAATTGATAGAAAAGACTGCACAGACATGCATTCATATGCTCCAGGTAACTCATTGCATTTCTTGGATTTTGGCAAATTTAATTCAATTCAATTCAATTTTATTTGTATAGCGCCAATTCATAACAGAAGCTATCTCAGGACACTTTTCAAATAGAGCAAGTCTAGACCGAACTCTTTAAAACATTATTTACAGAGACCCAACAGTACCACCATGAGCAAGCACTAGGCGACAAGGGCAAGGAAAAACTGCCTGTTAAAAGGCAGAAACCTAGGACAGATCCTCCAACTCTAGGTGGGTGGTCATCTGCCTTGACCAGTTGGGGTGAGAGAGAGAGAGAGAGAGAGAGAGAGACAGACAGACAGACGCACAGCAACAACAGTATTGGCAGTGGCAATCTAGCAGGACCATGGCAGGAGGCTCCACCAGGATCGATAAGAACCTGCGAGACAAGAAAGCACAAGAACTCCGGGGAAGAAGTGGAGTTAGTAACATGCATTAAAGGAACATGAATGAGTGCAGAAAGAGAGAGGAAGAGAGGAGCTCAGTGCACCATGGGAAATCCCCTGATAGTCTAGGCCTATAGCAGCATAACTAAGGGATGGTTCAGGACTCACCTGATCCAGCCCTAACTATAAGCTTTATCATAGAGGAATGTCTTAAGCCTACTCTTGAATGTGGAGAGGGTGTCTGCCTCCCGAACCACAACTGGAAGCTGGTTCCACAGGAGAGGAGCTTGGTAACTGAAGGCTCTGGCTCCTGTTCTACTTTTAGAGACTATAGGAACCACAAGTAGCCCAGCATTCAGAGAACGTAGTGTTCTAGTGGGGTAATAGGGTACTATGAGCTCTTTAAGATATGAAGGGGCCTGACCATGAAGAGCTTTATAGGTGAGGAGGAGAATTTTAAATTCTATTCTACATTTTACAGGGAGCCAGTGCAGAGAAGTTAGTACAGGAGAGATGTGATCTCTTTTTCTAGTTCCTGTCAGTAGTCGTGCTGCAGCGTTCTGAATTAATTGGAGGGTTTTAATGGACTTATTGGGCCAACCTGATAATAAAGAGTTGCAGTAATCCAGCCTTGAAGTAACAAATGCATGGATTAGTTTTTCTGCATCTGTCTGTGATAGTATGTGTCTAATTTTTGTAATATAACGTAAATGAAAGAAGGCAGTCCTAGAGGTCTGCTTCATGTGGGAGTTAAATGACAAATCCTGATCAAAGATAACGCCAAGATTCCTGACAGTGGTGCTAGAGGCCAAGTTAATGCCATCTAGAGTAACTATATCTTTAGACAGTGAGTCTCTAAGGTTTAAAGGTTTAAATTTAGTGGTTTTATAGTGGGATTAGGGATCCAGAAAGATTTATCAGAGTAAGACTATTTTCCAATAGTGTTGTCACTTTTTATCAACTGTCATTTCCTCGACCGTAATGAGGATAGGAATATCATCTTCTATCACCTCTCTTCTCCCAGTGGATGATCTCAGCAGATGAACTACATCTACTTCACTGGTCTTCTTCAAAATGCCGTTTGCGTTTGGTTTTCAGTTTCCCCAGCTATTTCTCTCAATCTTATGGCGGCGGCTTTCTATGAAGTGCACAAAATTCCGTCTTTGAAGTAAAGACAATATTTTCCACAGAGCACGCAACTGCTGCCCAAGGCAAAGCCTTCATATGAAGAAACTGTTTGAAATCACTTGTTTTCACACGTTTCCAGTTTCCTGGCAGTTCCAGTTGTTTTCTTGATGGAGTTTTTAATGCGGAGTGAAAATAAAATTCTCTCTCAAAAGCATTTTGGTTTTTGTAATGTAACACAGCCTGTATCTGTCAAGGAAAAATTAAACTTTTATAGGGATTCTTATAGTATGTGACCTATGAGGCAATTGTCATAATTTGTACTGTATGTCTGAATGTACTATATGTGTTTCCTGATTTGTTTTAATTTTTAACATTTGTCACTGTATCTTGTTTGAACACCAACGTCCTCTAAATGTGAAGTTAAAGAACCACTCCTTTAGAATCCAGCTGTGCTCAGTCCTTTCATTGTCCTCTGTTTTCTCACAAAAAGAGCACCAAGGTTTTAATTATGCTGTTGCACATCCACACATGTGGATCACTGGCATTTATATAACAGAAGCTGACAGTAGCTGAGTTGCGTGGGAATGAAATCTTGTTCTTTTAATGGGACCAGTGAATTGATGAATGTTAACTGAAGTGATAAAGTTGGGAAACAGTATGCTCTTTGTTTCTACAAAGACTAGAAAAAAGAAAAGAAAAAATGATTTTGACAAAATTGTCTGTATTGTTTACCCTTGCTGTATCGTCATTGCATTATTTATGGATTATGAATCATTTAACATTGAAACATTCATTTTTTAAATGTATGGCATGGTTGTATGGATGAGGTTTTGGTTGTAACTAAACCTCTGTTTCTTTATCATAAACATCATGCAGCAGTCTTTTCTATCATCTGTCTGTACCCTTTGGCCTTTATTTAGCTGCTCTTGCTTCCACTCTGTTTATGTACAGTATCCTCTTTTTACAGTTGAAAGTATTTCTAATTTCTGTCATTTAACAAAATATAACTCATAATTTAAATGGCTAACAAATAAAATTATCTTTGGATTTTTTTTTGTTATCCCAATGAAATGATGTCTGAAGTCAAATACATTGGTGTCATAATGATGTTTGATGGACGCTGTACTTTAAGATATGATTAACGGTTTTAAAATTTAGGATTCTTGTATATCTCTCTTAAAGATAAATACAAGCCAAACAAAAACTTCTCTGTCCGACTGTTGAAAAACAATCTTTGGTTTGTTACACAACACAAGATGTTTAACCTGTTTCTTAGCAAGCAAAAGGTTTCGTTTTCAGTTTCATATATTATCAATCTTACTGTAAATAATTTAAGCTATAGGTTTTTTTTTTATGTCTATTTGCTAATAAGTTTAGTTTGTTTAGTTGTTTAAAGGAGATGTTAATTCCAGCTCCAATCTTTGTTCAGTTTGATAAATGGTTGCAAATTGATAAGTTCATGTAAAAACTTATTTTTCTTTAGCAACTATTTTAATTCTAGTTGAAGATTTGTGGAAAAAATCTTTGGTGTTATCAAAGATGGATTTCTATTTATTTTAATGAGAACAGATGTTTATCCCTATGATTTGATCAAAGCAAAAGTCTCAATAGAAAAGGCAGATTTGAATCAGCAGTAAATAGGAAAGATTGCTGGGGCAGTATATTGACAGTATAATAGGCCTTTTGGTTGTATAAACACAGTATTATAATATAAAAGTACTGTAATGGAGAATTGTTTAATTATTTTGTTTTGCTGTCTAGACTGAAGTTCATACAAGGAACAACAGAAAGAAAGAATTAAGTAATTGAGTCCCATGAAATCTGCTGTTAGTGCCAATTCTTAGATAACATAAGGAGGACGGTTACTTTAGGTGATATTCATGTTTTGCCTGAAGAATGAAGTATGTTGTCAATGTGGAATCTGGCAGTTGTACTATTAAGCCAATGTTTATGTGGGTAATCAACTCAACCGTACGCAACAAATACTGTGCAAGGGAAATGTACAAAGAACAGAGGCTTATATAAATGCAAAATGGAAAGTCACAGGTGAAAGCAGCCGTCTTTCCTTATGGAAAATGCTGTAGTATGGATCAACACACAATAAGATAACAACAGACTTGATTTTTAGTTCAAGACAGCGCTATGTTATTAGAACTCTCTTGTTCTCACTCTCGAGTTTTTCACGCACGGCCTACTTGTTGTTCATTTGTTCACATCTTTGGCAAGCAATTTTAAAAGGTAACCAAATCCTATTCTGAGACTTTCAGTACCTGCAGATGAAGTAAACGATTGTGTGGACATGTAGTTTATTTGCACCAAGTAATCCTACTCTCTCTAAGTGAATAAATCTGATCTCTCTCTCTGCGTTGCTTGTGTTTTGGCAAATTTAGTGACTCCTCTAGTTACTACAGGACTATATAGTATCATTGGCAGTTTGAGAATGTTTTCCATCACTCTCATCAGCTGTCATAAAAATACAGTTTGTGTACTGTTAGCGGTTTGTGTACAGTTTCAGTTGACCCAATTATTTCTCTCTTATGGCAATAGCTTTCTTTTATGTCAGGGCATAAAATACAGTCACAATGAAAATCAAAGCAGTATTTTACATATAGTACGCAACTGATGCCAGAGGGAAAGTCTTCCTAGGAATATAGTTTGAGGTTGCTTGGTACGTTTCCAGTTTCCTTGTAGTTCCAGTTGGTTTTCTAACGACACTCTAAAGGGGAAATTAATCTTTCATTGGGATTCTTGTGGTATGTTACCTGTGAAGCGATTGTGTATAATGTGTACGTGTGAACTGACTCTATGTTTCCTCAGTTGTTTTGATTTATCACACAACCTGGCGAATGAACCACTGCTTTATAATGCAGCTCTTATGTCATCTGGCAGGGATCCCTGGCCTGTTTTGTTATAAAAGGGCCACACCCCCTTTTGTGCACTCATAACACCTGTCCATAGACCAGATTCCTAATAATTATTTTGTTTGCTTTGCTTACAGTTGTTGATCAGATGGCAGGTCTTTTGAATGCAGTTTTACGATTTGCAGTGGCAGCCGCAGCATTTATTCCTGCCAGATGCCAAATCATACTCAGCACTGGTTACATTCTGTTGAAACAGAAGACTTTCAATATCTGTATTTCCTTTAAATGATTGTACGAACATCATGTATTCCTATGCACCAGGTAACTTCACTCTCTCTTGTTAACCAATCTGGTTTCTCACTGCACTGCTTGCATATAGGCAAATTAGCAGCTCCTAGAGTGTGATCAGGGGCCCAGATGATGTTATCGGGGTTAGCTTTATCTTGAACTGGTAACTCTTGATATTTTAAACAGGAGTCCTGCATTATAAACTGGAGTGGGGAGTTTGAAAGAGGCGGGGTAAAGAAAGGGTGTGTTGAGTTCCATTCATTTTATTGAATATAAATAAAGTTTTTTTTATTATTTCAATTTGTGTCTTGTTTTTCTGTTTTTTTTAGCAAGTAAAAAAAAAAAAAACAACCAGAAAAAAAATAGATTTTATTTCCTAAAAATATTCTAAATACTGTCCTAAACGTCCTCATGTATTTTAATACAATAACATACGCGGTGCATCGTTTAATTAAACCTCGCTGTAATGTAGGTAGAGAATATTATGAGGCTTGTTGGAAAGAAAGTTTGGGAGTCCGTGCTGCCTCACCAAACCCCGCCCAGTAACAGGCGTGGTTTGCTGAGGCAGTAGGCAATGCGCTCCACCCCTCCCTCCCTCCCTCTGTATATCCACTGGCTGTCACAGCAGCAGCGGCTCTAAGACCAATAGTAGCAGCAATCCACTCTCCAAGTCGGCTTCACCTTCTCTCTGTACCCGTCTTCATCCCGCAGACATGGACCTGGAGCTGCAAACGTACACGGCGCACTTGCTTCCCATCCTCCCCGCGTTTGCGCTCTAGCCGTGCGCTCCCGGCCCGAGGCAGGCACGTCCCGCTGCCGACCATAAGGAGACTGTTATTATTCTGTCGGGTTCGCCGAGACATCACTGTGTAGGACAGTAGAGACTGAGCAGCAGAGAGGACCACACGGTCGTGACAGCAAAAAATAAAGGGCCGTTTCTGGATATCGTGGTAACTGAGAGCGGCTTTTTGTGTCCTCCATCATGGCGAGTGACTCTCCAGCTCGGAGTCTGGACGAAATCGACCTGTCCGCTCTGAGGGTGAGATGATTGTGACATTTTACAGTTTTGGAATATAGCTTCATCAGTGAGAAACCGGTGTGTGTGTGTGTGTGTGTGTGTGTGTGTGTGTGTGAGTGTGTGAGTGTGTGTGTGAGTGTGTGAGTGTGTGAGTGTGTGTGTGTGTGTGTGTGTGTGTGTGTTTCTCCTTCTCCTGCACCTGACAGCGCTCCCCTGAATAGCAACCGGCAGGAGAGCAGAGGAGGCTGCGAGAGGCGGATGTGTGGGAGACGGGGCAGCCAGGCCGCCACAATGCAATGTGTCAAATTATAGATCAAAAATTATATATAGATGTTAACTGACATTACAGCTGCCTCGTGAATCTGAAGCCTTATCTTAACACAAGTCAATAACAGGAAGGTTGGTGGTGTGTGTGATGCTGAGTTGAGGTTGTAGCTGTGATTCTGCTGACCTGGTTAGAGAGAGAGAGAGAGAGAGAGAGAGTTGGGGGGGGTTGTGTATCTTTTTTTCCACAGCCTATTATAGGCCCATCAGCCTTGATACAGACAGCAGCGGAATTTAACCTATTTCTCCCACACACTGATGATTCTCTTGGCTTGTGTGTGAGAGAGTGAGGCAGACAGGGTTCCTTGATCTCAGGCCCAAATTGTTATTTTCACCAGAATCCTCCCCTCTTAATGGTAAACTAGTTTCCCCCTCTTGCTGTTTTTGGAGCTATTTGTGTGTGTGTGTGTGTGTGCGTGTGTGTGTGAGAGAGAGAAAGAGAGAGAGAGAGAGAGAGAGAGAGAGAGAGAGAACCAACCTACCTGTAATCAGTGTACTCTCCCATCAAATCTGAAGCTTTGCATGCTGCAATAGCCAGTTCTTTTGTTCATCCAGTGTGTGTGTGTGTGTGTGTGTGTGTGTGTGTGTGTGTGTGTGTGTGTGTGTGCGCGTGTGCTGCAAACGGCAACACACTCACACCGACAGACTCCTGCGCTTGTGTTAATGCATGGATACCCATGTTTTCGCATCTCTGGGCATGGTGTGTGTTATTCTGAGTGTGTGTGTTTCTAATGTGTGGGAGTCTGCCAGGCTGACACACAAGTAAGGGATGGTGCACATGAGAAAAGGGCTCCAGCTAAAAGACCTGTTTGCTGCTGAGAGAGGAAACCACACACACAACACACAGACACACACACACAGACACACAGACACACACACACAGACACACACACACACACACACACACACACAATGCAGTTGTTGTCTGCCTGCCTGTATTTACCTGCTTCCTTGTCTGCTTGATTGTGCCCCGCATGTCCATTTGTGTTCCCTTTTATATTGTCTGTCTTTGCCTGTCTCTTTCTCTCTGTTCATGTCTCTCTGCTTGTCTCTGTGTTTCTGCTTCAGTCACAACTGCTCATCCATGTTTTTTGCTGTTCCTCCCTTTATCAATTTCATTGCCCGTTTTTTTCCTGCTTCTTGTTTGTCTGGCTGACTGAATGCACCTTCCTGTCTATCTACCAGCCACTCTGTCTCTTAGCATTATCGCTCTCTGCCCACCTCCCTGCCCTGCCTGCATGAAGGATAATGTTCACAGGGGAAGGTGAATGAATTGTCGACAACAAACGTTGGTTTTGAGGTTGACGCCTACAGTATGTAGCGCATTGTCACCAGTGGGGAGAGCAGGATCGGAGGTAGAATGGAAAAGGAGAACATGAAGGAAGCAGGGGGGTGGAGAGGGAGAATGAGACAGACAGAGGGGAGATGAAGAGGAATGACGATGAGGAGGGAAGTGTCTGTGCTTTGGGAGTCATCCCATGCATGTCCTGTTCTGCCGTGATACCAAGCGCATGTCTCTCACTGTGACTCAGAAGCAGCCACAGTAACAACTACAGACGCT